GATCCTCACGACCAACTGTGTAACCGGGAGGCCGTTCCAAAGAGATCACTTCCTCCAGATCTCCATGGAGGAATGCATTCTTCACATCTAGTTGATAAAGAGGTTAGTTATACAGAGCTGCTGCGGCAAGCAAAGTCCGAACTGTGGACATCTTCGTAATAGGATCAAACATCTCGTTGTAATCTACACCATATTAATGAGTATAACCAAGTGCAATGAGACGAGCTTTGTTGCGTTCAATGGTGCCATCGGGAAGAACCTTGATCGCATAGACCCAACGAAAACCAATGGTGGAAGGACAGGGAAACGGTCGATCAACAACTATCCAGGTGCAGTTGGCTTCTAAAGCACCGAATTCCTCTTGCATTGCTCGATCCCAGATAGGATTGCCCCGTGCCTGTTTATACGTAGTAGGAACAACGAGAGTATCTACTCCATGAGCTACATAATCTTCAAAAAAAAAAAAAAGGAGGAACACCTTTATTGGAGCGGGTGGACTTGCGAAGAATGGGCTGCTCATCGGGTGAGGACGCAGCTATTGAAGGCGTGGAGGAGCTGTTGGAGACCGATGATGGCGAAGATTGTGAGCTGCTGGCGGTAGGAGACAAATCCGGAGAGTGAGGTGTGTCGGCAGGGTTATTGAACATGGGGAGCTCGACATCCAGTTCATCATCAAAAATAGGCAGTGAGGATGACCCACCAGGAAAGGCAAGATTAACAATTGAAGTTGAAGTGTAGTACCTAATGTGTTCAAAAAAGACCACCGAGGCTGCCTTTATGAACACTACTATACCCTAGGAAGACACAACGAACAGTTTTGGAGGTCAACTTAGTTCGCTCACGTTTAGGAAGAAGAACAAAGAAGAGACAACCGAAAACCCTTAATCTAGAGTAGTCAGGATGATGACCATAGAGACAAAAATAAGGGCTCTTCTGCTGTAAAACAGGAGTAATCTGATAATTGATTAGTCCCACAGCAGTCACCACTGCTTCAGGGCAGAAACGACTAGGAATAGAGGAATCAAGAAGTAAAGCACGGGTAAGCTCTACATCATGTCTATTTTTCCGTTCAATGAGGGCGTTCTGTTGAGAAACTCCTGGGCAAGACATCTGACTAAGAATTCCGCAAGAATGATAGACATCATGCAACGGAATGGAGCTAAATTCCCCTCCAGGATCAGAACGAATTATTTTGACGGTTTTGTTGAATTGAGTCTGGATCATAGTTAGAAACTCTATGGTCACAGAACGAAGTTCTGATTTTAGACGAAGAAAATATATCCAAGTATATCGAGTAGCATGATCTATGAACAGAGCAAAATAGCGAAATCCAAGACGAGAGACAGTAAGGGAAGGTCCCCAAAGATCAGTATGAATGATGTGGAAAGGCTCATTTATAACAGTAGTGCTTAAAGGAAAAGATTTAGTTGATGTTTTTGCTTCCACACAGCTGGTACAAGAGTGTTCAGAAGGAATTTCAACAAAATTCTTACATAAAAGAGACTGTTTAAACATGACAAAAAGACATCCTGAGTGGGGATGCCCCAAACGAGCATGCCAAAGATCCCACTCCTTATTCGATAAACTATAAAACTGGACTAGAAGAATTTTCAAAAAACTGAGAGGGACTACTGACAGACCTAGACATAGACTGACTAAAAAAAGATTGACTCAAAGAACGGACAGGGCTTAAACTTTCTTGGAGCTCCTCCAAGTGGAAGATCCTCCCCTGCTTACTCCCCCTTCCGATCTGCCTCCCATTCTTCAAGTCCTGTATAACACAGCCAGAAGGTGCAAACAGAACAGAGCATCCTGTTCAGTAAGTTGTCCTACTGAAACTAAGTTTGGTACCAAATAAGGAAAATGCAAAGTACAGGACAAAGATATATTCGGAGTATCAACTTTACCAACTCCTGTGACAATCATTCTATCTCCATTAGCAACAGTGAGGCCCGCATGACTAATTTTTTTAATATTCCGTAGAGAGTTTTTATCATTAGTCATGTGATTATAACATCCCGAATCAATCAACCATGGTTTGGATTTAATCTCACCTTGTAGAGTAGATAGTGCAGTTCCAATAGCAGTTGGAAGTGAGGTTTGCAATGCGGTCACAGCCTGCACAAGTTGTTCTAGTTGGGCAGCCGATACCCCTCCAGAAGCAGTACCACTTGACTCCCAAGCTTCCACAGCATAAGTAGGGAGATTGATCATACTTTGAGTCCCTCGTCCACCTCCAGCCGAGGAAGGATAGTTCACAAACCTCTCCGCATTACGTTCACGAGTCCGACACTCCAAAACAATATGTCCCATTCTTTTACAGTAAACACAATAATTTATTCGACGACAATGCTTCACCAAATGCCCTTTCTCGTGGCAATGATGACACTCCAGCTCGGAATTAGGAACTTTATTTTGGAACTGTGGACGTGTAACAGCAAGGGCTTGAGAGTTTTGTCCCATACCTGACCAGGCCGATCTTGTCCGAGCAGCAACAAATGTTTCTCCTTCACCTGGGCGAGAATCAAAATTAGCTTGAGTTCATAGACGTGTTTCCTCACGAACAAGGCTACTAATCACTCCATCAAAGGTCAGGCGATCCCGATTCAGGATATTAGCTCGGATATTCTCAAATTCAGGTCTCAATTTCATAAGAAACTGCATAACTCTAGTTTGCTGCCGTTCAGCAATCATGTCGTCCATCATTGAGCTTGGCCTGAGCGCTAAATGGAGAATGTCTTGCTCGGTCCATAACTCTTGGGCTGCATTAAAGTATTCAATCACTATCTTGTCCCCTTGAGTTAAACGAGAGAGAGAGAGTTGTTTCCACCTCAAACTGGCGAGCTGCACTTGTGGTTGAATAATGAATATAACCCAGAAAGATGACGCCACATTCTGTTGGCAGTAGGAAACAGTCGAAGGCTAAGACAGGTTGAGGGATCGACTGATCCTAGGAGCAATGATCGGATGCGGGCATCGCTTTGAGCCCACGTCGCCCATTCCTGTGGAGTACTCGTGGCTGCAACCGGTTGAGGGATAGTACCATCTAATATTCCCAGCAGTCCGTTTCCTTCAATGAAAACTCGAAACTGAAATTCCCAGAGTGCGTATTTGTCGAAGTGAGGCACACCGTTGGCCTCTCTAAATCAGTCGCGATGAGCTCTGATATCATGTTAACAGATACAGAAGCAGATGAATATGATGCGGAATTGAAAATGAACCTAGACACAGGAGTTTACATGGTATCCCTGGATGTGATCCAGGACTAATCCACGGAAGAGCTGAAATGCTCTTCTCGCTGCTGATCTTACTATGATGAGAAGAAAGTTACAGATCACAGAATGAAAACCGAGGTTGCTCTAGCTAAACCCTACTAGCTTTGACCCGGCCCATTGGCCGGAGGTAGCTATGAGTGAATTGGTGAGTCTAATCACTTTTTCTACGTCATCTGGTTACTATTTAGTAATTTCTTTGGTGAACTCTCGCATCAACTCATTCCCTACTGATTCGTAGTCCCGTTTAGTTAGATTGAATACAAAGTTCTCGAACTCATACACATGTCGCTCTAATAGTTGGTGATCAAAGTGGCTGATTAATATGAAATTTTACGTCAATAGAAATTCAACCAAATTTGTAAATTATCCATGGACATGTGTCTATCCAATTGAATATTTGAGGAAGTCACCACTCACAGAAAAATTCATGTATAAAAATATATTGTTGATAAATTAAAATTGGCTTGTTTTAACTTTTAAAACCGTCTGTACTTTTAAAGTAACTCCAAGTTAGTAGGAAAAGATTCAATTTGTAAAACACATAATCACTTGGAAGTTTGAAAAATCAAATGCACTAAATCTATATAATTGTAACTAGGAAAGAGTGATAAGCGGAGGGGAAAATACATAATAACATATCCAATCTAGGATCCGGCCTCATAATATTAACATTGCAAAGAAGTTCAATGGTTTTATGCTAACAGACACCAAAAAAATCATGACAAAACAGGATTATAAGCATCCAAGATTATGCACAAAAAGATTATAAGCATCCAAGAAAAACGGGACTGAGGTCACACCTGTTCTCTATCTCATTGTCTCAAGTCATTGAGTTGGCCAATTGTAATTGATGGGATAGCATTAATTTCAGTCGAAGCCTGGCCCGTTGGCCGATAGAGGGTATATTTAAATTAAATCTTGGTAAGGAGAGACTACTACTTAAAACCTGCAGTGAACATAGAAAGCCAAGATGCCTGAACAGTCGACCTCATAATATATATTATTGCTATGTAGGCAGGATTTAAAAGAATGGCATATTCAGAAGGGCTATCTATGTATTCAGTGAAGAAATACATGGAAGTTGCTTCCCATAATATATTCACAATCAATCTTAACAATTAGAAAATCAATTAAAAATCCATTTATTTCTAAGCACATTTGACTATGATATTTGATATGAATAAAAGATAAAACTTGTACCATAAGAAAGTAAATGTATTAGAGAGTTCAATTTCCATAATGGCTAGTAGGCATACCAGGCCTAGCAGAATTATACCTAATACTGTAAAACCAACAGGATGAATAGAAATACAAAATCAAAAACCAACCTGTTGCATGCACATATTAGATATATCACAACTTCTTTCAGAGTTCACAATGGATATAGTACGCTTGAAACAGATAGGTTAATGAAAGAAAGGGTAATGAAATGGATGAGTTGGCACTACATCTCACCAGGTAGCCGAATACCAAAATGGCCTATTACCAACTCGTATTTCATAAAGAAAGGAAATTAAAATGGGCCATGCAAAATGGGAGGTGACATAATGGACTATAAAAAAGAGCTACCATGTATTCCTCAAACCTACTGTATCTACACTCTTTAACTTCAGGGGAATTCGCAGAAGAATTCTATCTCATAGAGTAATACAACACGCCATAGATTATGAAATCAAGAACCAAACTCTTATATATGCACAAAATAGGTGATATCAATCACAGAACATGGACACCCAAAATTCATTCAACCTAAAGCCTCTCATTACAGGTATGCATCATAAAACATGAAACACATTTAATGATGCAAAAGGAACCTGATATACACCCCTAATAAATTTAGAACTGAAATAAAAATGCAAGTCTAAATCAATTAATAAAAAGGTTAATCACAACCAAACGCATCTAATTAAGCATCCTTCTACCAACCACTAATCTATCCAGTGGGTGTAGGACCATTCTTGCTAATAAAAATATAGAAAAGAAACTAAAATTACCCACCAATTGGAACATGAAATATTAAACTTCATTATTCATGATCAGTTCATGCTTTCTTTTGAGATTGCATGTGGAGTGCCCGTAGTTGGAATCACATTATTTGGGGGATTCTCTTAGTAGCATTTGAGGCTTCTGCCTTTGCGAGCTCACCCTCCCTGGCAGCATGTTGTGAACCGTGAGGAGACACCCTCCAGATACTGCTAAACATAAGAACAACATACGTCAACATCAGTAGGTGAATCGAGGTTGGTGCTCAGTTATGTGATAGGGTGTAACAAAGGAACAAAACCTTTAGACAAAAGTGGAAAGAACTTTATGTTATATTGTGGTTTACAGGTTTAGCTATACATATGGCAAGGCTGGATTGAAACCCAGAATAAGCTAATCAATCACATGACTAAATACATTGAAAGAATTGAATTAAGTCAAGGAAGGTGGGAGAGACTCATGAGGTCGCTGCAATCCCCCCTTGAAAAGTATTAAGAAAAAAGCTCAATATTATATTCTAATTAATTAATTATTTTCAGCATAATAACAAAATAATTTGCAATAAAAACATTAAAATGAAATTTATTTAGTTATATAAATGATCGATGGAAGGCTTTGGAAGTTTGGATGGTGAAAATTTATTACAGAAGGCTTTTCCATATGATTCCATTAAGAAAAGGCTTAGTATATACATGCTTGAAACACCAATTTCCAAGTGCTAAATACTACAACTCAAATTCATCACTTAGATGGATGGAGCACAAAGAGATGCCAAATAAGGTACATAACACTTCCACATATATCTTTCCTAGACTTGCCATTATAAAACACAAAGGAAACTACATTAGGGGAGCATGGGGTATAAATGATTAATCACTAATCAAGATTAACGATTTGGTGAGGATCCGTGCATGTCAGGTTACATCTAGTTAAACAGACAGGAAACTGGAATTAGTTATCTCTCACTTTTCCGCTAACCCTCCCTACTTCTCAAATTAATTGTGCAAGACACATTCTTTAAAGAAACAACAGTACGGCATACCAGTTCTTAGTTACTCCAGACTTTTCACCTTGACTGTGCTCCACGACTTCATTGGGACAAAGCAATATAGCCTCAAATCCTCATTCTAACCTCAATCGAAATCCAAAACAAACTTCATAACCTGCAACTACCAACTCACACGAAGAAAAGTAAACAACTATGCTAAAATTACAGGACCTGGACTTTTGGGTGATGTAGCGCCTTTTAAGATGATTATTTGCAAGGAAATTGGACTATGCTAAAATTACAGGACCTGGACTTTTGGGTGATGTAGCGCCTTTTTAAGATGATTATTTGCAAGGAAATTGGACTCTCTAGGAGGGGAAATCATCCCCAAAAAGCAACAATGTGTGATTTTGCATAAACTGAGTTTTCTAAATGGAAAAACAATATAAGAATACAGGGGAATCAAGTGCCACACTCAAATGTACTTGTGTCCATAATGAAAGAAAATACAGTTGGGTGTATATATCTACATCAATGGAGGACAAGAAACAACCATTAAGCTTACAAATTCACATACCTTCCTCTACTAACAACAAACAAACGAAATCAATTACTTATCTTTCAATAATCAGATTTATTGAAATAGTCCTCTTCATGTTTTAGAAGAGAATTCCAGATCGACGTTACATAAGAAATATTAGTGCAGAGAGATAGCACTTCAAATAAACATGGAACCCCGTATTCATGCACTAACCTTCTGCGATTTCACATAAACCATTCGTCAAAATCACAGAAAGATAACTTAAGCTTCAGAACCAACCTACAAACAACAGTAGATGACTCTTGAATGTCAATAGAACCACATGAAAGTCACAAATAGTTGAAGCCAAAAACAGTTGGAAGATACATAAAGAACAGACTTGGCAGACATACTTTTATGTAGTTCCAATCCTGAATCTAGAGAGATCGCATATTATAGTTGTGATTACAATCAGTATGTGATTTTGTCTATTTCCCCCCATGAATGAACTAATAGACCACATGGAGGTTGGATAGAGGGCTTCACGGGAACTATTCAAATATTTCATAAGTGCAGAAAGTGAATACGGAAAGTTACAGAAAGTGCTAGCATAAATATTTTAAGAGGTTTAATTTGGTAGCTTTAAGCTATAGATACATCCGAATCAACTATTTATTGTCAAAGTAGTTTGATGTTTCACACTGTAATCATAAAGCAAACGCTTGACAGAAATAGGGATGCCTCTTAAATGAAACTAAGGAGGCATAAAACCTAGATAAGATAACAAACGACCACAAAATTATCACCCTTTGTAGATTCCTCCCAATTGCCAGAACTGACATCCAAAAGAAAAACTCATCCAAGCAGAGAAAAATGATTCATATAAGGAAAGAGCAAGATCCACGGAACCCAAGCTAAGCAATCTACAAAATACAAACCTAGTAAAGTAATCCCAGTCGGTAGCCAACTTTCACATTCATAAGTACATAGCTTTGTGTGTTCTAATATCAGTTAATACAAAGATCACCACTGCTGAAAATAGTTGTTTCAAACTTCTAAGGGTAGTGTGTGAACTAACCTAGGAAGAGAGCTCACCGGGTGGTTAGTTTCACTGCCATCATAACCATCACCGTCAAGGTAGCCCTGAGTCAAGCATTGGATGGCCACAAAAATATGTCCAGTGCCGGAGAATGCCAATTCGTTGTTCCTTAGTCTCTTTTGGAGGCCTGCCTGAGATAATTCATTACTTATAGACCTCTCAAACTCCACTCAGCTTCTGAAATGGTGATTGAATGGAGTCTGGCTTGGAGATTCATCCCACTTGTTGAAGCTAGCAGTCGTCTTCAAACTTTATCCTCCCGTACTGCTTCCTTATTTACATACTGATTAGGGTCAAAGCTTTCTCATATTGAAGCTAGAATGAGCTAAATTAACTTAGTTCATGCTATTGTAGAGAAACAATGAGATAGCAATGAAGAAAGTGAATGGCATTAAAGAAGACTCGATGGCTGCATATGGAATCAAAACGTCAATTAAACATAAAGGCTATCCCTACACATTTGATGGTGTATTTCAGATTTGGAATGCAGAATAACATCAAGTACCTAGGAAATCAGAAGTTAGAAGAAATAAACTGTACCTGAAAGGGGTTAAACCAACCGTAGATGGTTTTGGGAACCACAGCCTGGGAAGAATTTTTTAAGAGTGTCGCAAACAGGAAGACTGGAGACCGCCAAATTGAAAGCCTGTCACACACAATGATTCAATTTAAATGACAGTCGAAGTGAAGGTAGTCACAACATGAGAAGCGATTCATCCTTTGTAGCTAATGAGAGAAGCTCAGTAAACTGAAGCCGATTTCTTCGAATTTCCTTATTAAACAAAGCCATACCTATAGGATACAGGAGAGGAGGTGAGGACGAAGTAGTGATGAGAAGGTAGGTAGAGGCGGTGAGGAGGAACTGAGGAACACCCATATATCGACATTGGTAGCAGAGGAAGGGTGTAGGTGAAGCGTAGGAGGAAAGAATCGCTGACTCCGACACCTCTGTTCGTCGCAGCGGATTGAAGGGGTAACCGCAAGGGTATTAGTGGGCCGTAATAAAGAATAGGCCCGATCAAGAAAGCTGCGAGGGGAGGAGATAACCACATGTCTGCCGAGACATAGTCGTGGAAGGTGGGAATTTTCCCACGACGTGGGTTAGTTGGGTGTTACTGGGCCGAAGTAGTTTTTGGGCCCGTTCAAGTTGAGGCCAGGTGCAAACCCGGTTTTTCTCTGGAACAGACCTCTACGACCACGCTGAAGAGGTAGAGAAAACAATCCACCTTTCCCAAATTACCCCTCCTACAAACGCTCTCCATCCAGCAAATTTGAAATGGGGGCTGCCGTTTTTTTATTCGGCTTTTATTTATTATATAGATACATCAACGTGCCCTAGGTTTTGGATCAGCTATCAACGTCCAAACCTTGCAAGGGCCAGCATGGGCTTAATAAAGTGGGTTGTATCAATAATTCTAATCATCATAATATAGCAGTCACTAGGGCCTTAATCCGCTAACGTCCAAACTTTATTGATTGATCATTAATTCTAACGAAACTCACCCTTAAATAGTTCTTACAATGATAAGAGAATCTTTGTCCTACTTTAGCAAAGATAACATTAATAGATGAAGCTTCGGAATACGGCTGGACCGACGTGGACCCACTGATAGCTCATCACCGGCTGAGGAAATTAATCAAATCCAACAAACGGTTTGGTGAACGAAGGTTCATTAGCAGAAGGTAATGATTAATGAATGATGTTTTAGAGAAATGGAATCGATCTAGTGGTTCTATCTTAAACTATCCATCACTACCTAGCTGCCAAGAAAAGGGCCTCGTAACGAAAATAGATAATTGGTTGCAGTTATATACACAAGAGGGAAGAATACCAACTACGTACCAACTGATTAGGTAATGAATGATGCATGTTTTAGAGAAATGAAATCGATCTAGTGGTTATATTTTAAAGTATCCATCACTAGCTCGCTAGTATAAAAAGGAAAGAAAGACCAACTCATACTTAAACTGGGACTTCAAATAAAGTCCACTATCTTTAGATGTCTCAAACTATAATGTTTGCGCCAAACCATCCAAAATTTACAAACTGACAAGACGTACAGGAATAGCCTGAATATGAAACAGAATTCCCAATATGGTTTATGTAAGGAAGTGGTAATATCATTAATTTTGAACATGTAGATCTCAAAATTGAATATCTTAAATAGTATGTAAACCACAAAAAGTAAACCTATATCATCTTTATAAAAAAAATTGACCTCTTACAACAACTCGAGTTATTGAGATCAATGCTGTCAAAATGGCCTTTTAAAATTTAAATGCTTACGGTTTTATGCTTCTAAGTCACCAAAACACTTTCGTTTCCATATAAAATCTTTAGTGTATAATATTAGACTAAATTTCTCTTTAGAGCTTAAAAGCTTACACTTTTACGCTTCTAGTTCACCAAAACACTTTACGCTTTTACGCTTCTAGTTCACTAAATGGGTGTTCTTTTACGCTTTACGCTTTTACGAAAATTGGTTTATTGTAGTTTACATCGATTGGTTTATGTGATAGTTATTGTATTGTTTAAATAAGTTATATTACTTTTTTGGTGAAATGTGAATTTTACCCTTTTTTAATATAAAAAAGCAACACACATAAAAAGGTAGGGACATAGTTGGAAGAAAAAATAAACAACAATCTCAATCAAATAATCTCTCCAAAAACTTGAAATTTAACAATTACTCATTTTGAGTGATAGTGTGTGTTACATCATGCAAACAATGCATGTATTGTTTGTGCATAAACTTCAAAAAAAAAACAATGCATTGTGGACAATGCATGCATTGTAACTATCTCAACCAAACAATCACCAAAACCAAATTATCCCGAAGAAGCTCAAAAATAGAGTATATTTTTTTAATACAATTGTGTCATTTTCAACATCCATAAATCTCATATCCTCGCTTTTGTGGATTTTTATTGCAGAAGAGTTAAAAGAGGGTGTTTCTTTTTGTCTTGGCCTATAATCTGTGTAGGCATTTCGTTGCCCACATGTGATAGGATGATGCGTTACTACAAAAAAAAAAATTTATATTGTTGGTCACCTATTATCCATTATTTTTCCTATGTAAGTAAAAGGTAATCGTGTCATATGATCGACTGTTCGCTAAAAGCGGAGATTGTTCTCCGAAATAGGTATGTAAACCATTTTCTGAAATCGGTAGGCTATTTTGGCGGAAGCGGTCTAACTTCTCCAACAAACAGGTGTAAGTTAAAGGTAAGTGTGTCACAGGTCAACCCATTGCCAGAAGCGGTAGAGCGGTTGCCTCAAGTGGTAGACGACTTGATGAAAGTGGTAAACAATTTTCTTGAAAAGTGGTTTACCACTTGGTGGAAGAGGTCACCACAAGTGGTAAACCAATTGGTGTAAGAGATCGACCACTTAAAGGTAAGTGTGTCATCAGGTCGACCAATTTTCGGATTTGGTAGACCAGATAACTCAAGTGGTAGAGACATTCGTGAAAGAAGTCGACCATTATCTTGGAAAGTGGTCAACCACTTAATGGAAGAAGTCGACCGCTTTCTCCAAGTTATAGTGGCTTGCAAGTCACCATATGCATATGTATATCACCCACAATATGATACATTTGACATTAAAAGATACATACCAGGTATTTGTAGGGATGTTCAAATGGTGTGTTTACCGTGGTAATCATTTTAACTAATAGTACTTGGATAATTTGGTTTGGTTAATTTGGATAATTGGTTTGGTTTGGTTAAATTTTTTAACTTGTTTGGTTTAGGTGGTTTGGTTTCAGACACTGCTAACCGATCAAATCTAGAGGTGGCAATTTCAATCCAATCCACCAATCCAATCCATCAATCCATTAAAAATATCCACATAATCCAATCCATTTAAATCCAATCCATTTTATCCAAATCCAATTGGATTGGTGGATTCATGGATTGGATCCATGGATCATTGGCTAAAATACGGTTTAGTACCTATAATTTTTATTTTTTACATTTTGGTACCTAAAAATTAATTTTTTATACGAAAAATATCATTGAAAAATTACGTTTTGGTACCTAAAATTTTTCATTATGACATTTTAGTACCTTAACTTTTTACATTTTACATATTGGTCCTTGGTTGAGGATATCATTTGGATTCATGGATAATCCACCAATCCACTTGATCCAATCCATGAATCCACTAATCCATTAGATCCAATCCATTTGATCCATGGATCCATCAATCCAATCCACCAATCCACCAATCCAATCCATTTGCCACCTCTAATCAAATCAAATTAACTAGTTAAATAATTAGCTATATATCTAATATATTATATAAAAATACTTAATACTTGCGTAACCACTCAAGATTCAAATGTAAGATAATTGTATTAGTTACATGTATTTATGTTAAGGATTAACTATAAATTTGTGTTTATTGATGCACTAATCGGAAAATTTTCTCACTTAATAATAATAATCTAATTCATTACCTAGGCCCAACCCAAATTCATTAACATAGTGGGGAAGATGGCTGATTGTTAAGATCAATATTTATGAGCTTACTGTTAAGATGCTATGAGTTGTTGTACTTTAGACATGAATTGCATATATTCATTAACTTATCTAAATTCTTTGCACTCATGTTTTACATAATATATGTCCTACTTAACATATTTTTAGATATTTTACAGTATGCAAAAAAAAATAACCTTTTTTACTCTTTAATTCTATGCTTTACTATTTTATCCATTTTCCGCTTCTAGGTAGAATCACGCTTTTGACTGCATTGATTGAGATAATTTGGTTTAAGAAATGGTATCATGAGGATTTGAACAGTTGGCCTTACTATTAAACTGGCTCTGATATCATGTTATAAACCAACTATTCTCAATGATTTAAGTTATTGGGATTTGTGTATCGGTGGATTCTAATCACTTTCTTACCGAGTTTACTTTGCTCCCGAAGATTATTGTACTCCATGCTAACTAAAGGCATGTTCTGTGCTTACCCAAAAAAAAAAGGGTTTTGACAGTGTTGGGTTGTACAGTAGCTAGTTGCACATGATTTTTTTTTATAATTCGGTTGCTTTCATTTCATCAAAAAGGGTTGCTAACAACATCCTTGTATGCCAAATAACAATGTGTTGTTTAAAGAACTAAGGTACCAAAATAAAACCTATACCAAATCGAAGCCTCGGGTAAAAGACCAGATACTTACAAATTTTCAACAAACCATAGCTGATCTAGATCCCTAGGATCCTGCACCAAAACCACAACCTCACTCTTCTCATGAGAAACCAGAAATTGCTACATTCTTGCTATTCTTGCCAAAAGCTCTCCTACATCGCTCCCTCCAAGTATGAATCAACAAAGAATGCTAGACCAACCTACTTGTCGAAGCACAAGAAGTTTTCTTCCCAAACTGCAGAATATCCCAAGAGAGATTTTCTCCCAAAGTGTGTTGATGTAAAGAACTAAAGTTGCCAAATAGCTGTTGATGGACAGAGATGTAATATGAACAGACAGAGAATAAGTGATCTCTAGTCTCATCAGGCTGATCACACTAAAGACAATTATCCGATCTAGCAAAACCCCACTTCTTCATCTTGTCTTTTGTTTGAATCTTCTTACGTATGATAAGCCAGACAGGAAATCTATTATGAGGGATTGAGGTCCCTTTCCATAGGAGTTTTTACCATTGAACTTGGGATTGTTTTGGCATAAAAACTTCCCAAACCTTCTTTATAGAGTACCTAGGCATTTCAATATTGTTTCATCTAAGCAAGCCATTATGCAAGTTAAATAGGTTAGGGATCTAACCTTCGAGTAAAATTGCTAGTGGTTTCATTTTCTTGAACAAGTGAAACTATAAATTCCTTCTTATATAACCCCCACTGCCCACGTCTCACACCTTTTTAAACACTATCTTGTTTTTTTGCCATAGTTTAATCCCTACCTTTTTGGTAAAAGTCATATGGACTATGAATTAGTTATTTATTTCTTTTTAAGAAAGTTAAAGGAATAATATAAAAGAGGTAGAGGCCATCGAATCCTTACTTTCTTCAACCCAAGAGCATAGGAACTGATATCTGAACCACAACGGCTCAAGTAATTTCAATTTAGTGACACTACCAATATGTTCA